ACTGTAAGAAAAGTACACAAAATAGCTAACAAGAAGATTCACCAAAGTGTGGTATTATGACTTTTTCTTGCAGTTGCATGCTTAGAATAATGAAAGCTAATGATTCCAATCTTTAAATTAGGGCTTTTACATTCCTACAAACAAGAATAAAGGATTATTTCCCCCTATAAAGGAATGGATTTAGCTGCAGCTATCCCTCCAGTGACGTCACGTTTAGCCACACCCACCGACAGGAAGTAACCTGGCAGAAAGGAAAAATGGGCATTTTTGAAGGCTCATATCTCAGTGAATAATTTTTTTCAGACAATGGGAGTTGGAACACATCATTAGTATGGTCAGGCAATCATATTAAGCAAATAAAAAAAATATCTCAAAAATGCACTGAAGTTACCCTTTAAGTAGCTGCCAATTATGAATAAGTGTTTGTTAAGTATTTGTTTATTTTAATGTTTACCACTAAGAATGTAATTAAAAAATACAGCACATTTGTAATTATTATTAAAACCAAAAGTATATAAAAATAAGAGATAAAAATAGTCAAATGGCCTTTTCAGTTGCAGCCACGATATCATAGAGAAAGGCCAAGTTTTGGGTGCCATCTATTTGACTGGTGGAATCGCTCATCTAATCAGGTTCATTACTGGATTCACAACTGACATGAGTAACAAATACACTCAGACACACTAAGTCTTGCTTGTACATCAAGCCTATCATTCTGCCAGTAGTGGTCCTCAAAGAAGAGAAAACCATCTGTGGCAGGCTCAGCAGTGAACGGGCAGTATTTGAACAGTTTCATTGTCTTAAAACAAGATGACTACTTATAGCGTATACTGTCCTCTTAAACGTTGCCTCTAATTGTCTTCACCTGTGATTTCAGTCATATTCCTTGTCCTTTTCGTCTTATTTCCTTCCCATTCCCTCTGCCCTTGTGAAAATCAACTTCAAAGATCTTGAATGATCTTGCTAGTCTAACTAAGAAAACGTATGATAAGGCAAGAAATTTTTCTTGCATAATCTTAGCAATGTTTGATAAAACAAGATCTTGTAAGATCCAACATCTTGAATAACCACACTTTATCTTAGCAATACAAGATCTTGTTTGATAATGCACAATATTACCCCAATTATTTTATTTATTTTGATAAAATATGATCTTGTAAGATCTTATATCTTGAATAATCACACTTTATCTTAACAGTGCAAGATCTTGTTTGATAATGCATAATATTACCCCAATTATTCTTGAATCATCTTATGTGAAATTTATTTATTTTGATGAAACATGATCTTGTAAGATCTTATATCTTGAATAATCACACTTTATCTTAACTGTATAAGATTAGTTTAGGTCATGCAAGATCTTGAAAGATCTTACAAATCATGTGACGTCACAGGAAGTAGTAGACAACCCACGATAGCCTGAACGGTATATCCAGTATATAAAGAAAGCAAGTTTCAACCAAATTAAAACAAAGACAATCAATAAAGTTACATTAATACTTCATTATATTATAACTATTATGCATTCATGCATTGAATGCATTGTAAGATCTTGCTCAGATCTTACTGTTGCAATTATTTTATAAAAGCATTACATGCTAAAATCCCATGTAAGAAAATGACTGATCTCGTCACATCCTTCATAATCTTCATTCCAAAACCCAGTAAGATCTTGCTGTGATCTCATACATAATTCTTGCTTATACCATTCTCATATTATGCAAGATCATGTTGGATCCATAGATATTTTATAGCATCATGATCATACAAGGTCACGCATTATCTTTGTTCCAAATACCAATAAGATCTTGCAAAATCAAACCTAAGATTCATGCATGATCTTAAAAAGAAATCATGTAAGATCTTGCTGAGAATTTTCACAAGGGTGCTGTTGAATCGCCGCCATTTTGCTTCCAGTCAGTTTACTGCCCACGTGTTCACGAAGCGTAGGTGGTAGTAATGGCGTAAGTACTTGCTAAGTGGCCTCGTGCTTTGATTTTCTTCTTTCCCTTTAACAAGCTTTACTATACTATTATCTTATATCAAAGGAACCAAAAATCCAAGTATTGCACAACAGTGGAACACCGCCGTTTATAGCACGTAAAGTAAGAAAGTTATTCAAAATTTAAAAAGGCAAAGTCAGTGTGGCCCTACTATAGCACCCACTGCACCTGGCTCTGACAAGGTAGTCTAGACAAGCAATCGGCATTTCCATGGTCACCAGTCTTACGAAAACCTATTGAAAAGGAATATAGGCAGATAAGTGAATAGCCCATCTCTGCAATCTTGCTGCAGCTAGAGTAGGCACTCCCGTTTTTGGACCCAAAATTGAAACTAAGGGCTTGTGGTCTGTTAGCACTGAATTTAAAATGACGACCATACAAATATTGGTGGAACTTCTTAATACCAAAAATAATGGATAAGGCCTCTTTTTCTAGCTGTGAATAATTTTGTTCAGCAGGGGTAAGTGTCTTGGATGCAAAAGCCACTGGCTTCTCATTACCACTTTCATCCACATGTGATAACACTGGCCCCAAGCCATAGGCAGAAGCATCCGTAGCTAGAACAATCTCATGTTGAGGACTGTAATGTGCTAAGACTTTAGCAGAGAGTAGTTGATTCTTAGCCCTTTTAAAAGCCTGATCACAGTCGGGTGACTATACCCACTTAC